AATACCAACTTGATTTAAATTGTATATACACATTTTGCATAGCTCTGTTCCTTCCCTCCCCCTATCCTTTGGGTTCTTATTGACATACACATTATGTCTTTATACATAGTAAGACCATCAACATATTTTTATAATTACTAGTCCATGCTGTTGTCTTTTGAAGTAAGCCAGACACAGAAAGAAAAATACTGCATGATCTCACTTAGATGTGCAATCTAAAAAAGAACAAAAAAAACAGGTCAAACACAAAGAGATGGAGAATAAAACAGTGGTTACCAGGGACTAGGGGCTAAGGGGAAGAAATAGGGAGATGTAGGTCAACGGATCCAAGGTAGTGGATATGCAGGATGGAAGAAGTCTAGAGATCTAATGTAACGTGAGGACTGTAGTTAATAAAATTGTATTTTATTAGGGATTTTTTGTTAGATAGATTTTAGCTGCTCTTGTAACAAAAAGGTAACTATGTGAGATAATAGATACTTCACTTCACTATGGTACCCACTTTACTCTCTCTCTCTGTATCCCATAATATCATGTTGCAAACTCAAATATACACAATAGTATTTATTTAAAGAAAGGGAAAAGTTAGAATAATAAATTTGCACTGCCTTTTATATTTACTTATGCATTTAGCTTTACTGGTGTTTATTATTATTTTTTATGTGGATTTGAATTCCTGTCTATTGTCCTTTTATTTCTCTGTGAAGGATTTTCTGTAGTATTGCTTGTGGGACGGATCTGCTAGGAATGAATTCTGGGTCCTGGTTTATCTGGGAATGTCTTCATTTACCCTTCATTTTTGATAGTAATTTTGAATGCAAAATGTCATTTTGCTTGATGTAAGGGCCTTGATCTAGTAAGTCTCCCAGCCTTTGGAGAGAGTCTGTTCATGTGTTGAGCCATTATTTTATTGCTCGGCCAGCCAGTTCACCACTCTCCCTTATCCTGTACTTCATGCTTGGGCAGGACCTAAAGGTCAGCCAGAGGGGAGAGATTAGGGCCATCTTCAGTCTTTTCTGAGAATACACCCAGTCCTGAACATGTGCCTGGTCTAAATTCCCAGGAATATGTTGCTTTTCAAAGCTCCCTACAGACAACTAATTCTACAGCTTTTCCTTTTAAGGTTTTGAGCAGCTTCATTTGCCCCAACTCTTATCCTTACCTTAGGCAGCTGTGATTTTTTAAACAATTGCAACTGATTAATGTCCCTTGAAAAGGCGGTTCACTGCAAGTGTGCTCTGAGCCAGGTCGGATAATGAGAGCAGGAGCTTCTAGGGAGCTACCTCACAGGTCAAAGGAAGGGGGCATTATGGATCACTCCAAATGGCCAACTGCATCCTCCAGTGGCTACTAAGTTGCTGGTTTGCACTGCTAGTGTAGTTGTGAGGCTGTTGGCTGGATCTTATAAGAATACTACAAGCCTGGACAACCATTTTCCCGGAATAAACATGAACAGTTCTTGGATGTTGCAAGCTTTTGGTTGATTTCCAGAATTCTGAAAAGAAGATTTGGACAGTTTTGCCACTGTTACTGCATTTATGTAGGGATAGATGGTCAGCGGGTCTTACTCCACCTTTCTGGAAGTCCAGAGTTGAAGGATACCTTTGATTATGCTCAATTTTCATTTTATTCAAGTACTTGAGAACTAAATCCCTTTACAGATGCAACTCCATCATACGCCACTTCACCCAGATTCAGTTTTTGCACTTCTTTTACTTCCTCAGCATTGCATTTACCTGTTTCTCAGTTTTCTAAGAAATTTTTGTTTGGTAGGTTAGAACAGAGATGCCAAATCCTGCCTGTGTCTTGGTTATTTTTTTCATGGATTGCCCTTTGGTCTAAAAAAAAAAATGGTTTGGGGCAGTGCCTATGGCTCAAAGGAGTAGGGTGCCGGCCCCATATACTGGAGGTGGCGGGTTCAAACCCGGCCCCAGACAAAAACTGCAAAAAAAAAAAAAAGGTTTTTATATCTTTAAAGGCTTATAAGAAAACAAAACTCAAACAAGGAAGAGTCTGTGACAGAGAACTATATGTCACCTACAAAAAAGCCTCAAATATTTATTGCCTAGCCTTTTACAGAAAAAGTCCAAACCCTGATTTACAGTGAAGACATGGTGGGTTGGTGAGAACAGAGTCTATTTGCTATAGTTGCCTTTGGCGTGTTTTTAAATCATTCAGTATTCGTTTGTTAGGCCCAGATTATGGTCTCAGAGCTGGAAGAGACTTTACAGATTCTCCATGCCAAAGGCTGCATTTTACTGATGAAGAAGTCAAGACTCAAAGACTTGTTCAGTGTCATAGTATTAATTAGCCAGGACAAAAACATCAGGTTTCTGAATATGCTTTACTTCTCTTTCTATTCTAAGCTGTCTGAAAGTTTTCTTGCTCCTTTCCCAGCCAAAAAGCATTCTCAGTCTTAGATAAATAAGTCCTCTGCTTCCTGATGTTCTCCCTTTCCCTCATTTCTGCTTTTTCCTCTTCCTCGAGGAGAAGTTATGTTCCATAGTTTTCTTGGATGGTCCTCTGTAGAAGTTGTTTCCATTATACCAAAAGGGGAGCTGTCTCTTAAATAGCCAAAGAACCGATCCTATGTTTTCCAATTCTCTTTGGTATCTTACTGACAAGAGGCATGAAAACAGTAGTTTTCAAACTGTGCTCCATTTGGGCAGGGGGAGAAAGATGGACCTGGGTGAGACTTTGCTTCCCCCACCTATCATTCAACCAATACAACTACACTTTTACCTGTTTCATGTATGGGGCTTCCATGTAAGATTTTAATTGAATAAGGTGTTTCAGTGGAGGGAGGAAGAAAGAGACAGAGAGAGAGAGATTTGAAAACCATTGATTTAGATGACTATGGATGAAATCCAAGAGGAATCACAAAGATCTCCAAAAAAGGTTCTGGTAACAATGGGAAAAATCAGTGCCATATTATTCCCCCATCGTCTTAAGACACAGACAAAGCATGGGGAAGTATTGGAACCAGAAACCCAAATTTCTGGTGGGAAACAGAAACATTAGGAAATAAGGTAGAAATAGGTAGACGTGGTATATTTTTCCAGTTACCATTTGTTCAGGACCTGGCAGTTGTCTAGGAGCCTGAAATGAACCTGTAAGGTGCAAATGTCAACCAATGGAGAAAAGATACCCTTTTCTATAAATAGTTCTGGGGCAATAGGATTTATTTCCATAGACCAAAAAGAAAAAAAGACAATAAGCCTTGACCTAAACCTTACATATTATGCAAAAACGAACTCAAAAATTGATTACAGGCAAAGAATTATTAGAGTAGACCAAGTAAATTCTATAAAAGGAAAAAGTGATAAATAAGATAAATTGAATCTCATTACAGACAAAGACCATGCAAAAGTACGAAAAGACAAGCTATGTGCTGGGAGAATATTTGTAACCCACATATCTAACTAACGGATTATTTAGAGAATATAAAAATAGCTCTTAAAACTAAACAGTAAGAAAAAACTCAGTTAGGAAATGAACAGAAGATAGGTAGGAACATTTTACTGAGGAGGAAATACAGATATGTCAACTAAACACACGAAGAGATATTTAACATCATTAGCTAGCAGGGAAATACAAATTAAAACCATGGTGAGACATACATTGCTGGTGTTGATGTATCAATAGAATGATATAACAACTTTGAAAAGCCAGAAAAAAACCCACAAAACAAACAAAAAACAAACCAACAAAACAACCCCACAGTGATATCACTACAGAGATATCACTACAAATGCACAAGAATGGCTGAAATAAAAAGTGGTGACAGCTTGGCACCTGTGGCTCAAGTGGCTAAGGCGCCAGCCACATACACCTAAGGTAGCAGGTTCGAATTCAGCCCGGGCCTGCCAAACAACAATAATGGCTGCAACCAAAAAAATAGCTGGGCATTGTGGTGGGTGCCTGTGGTCCCAGCTACTTGGGAGGCTGAGGCAGGAGACTCGCTTGAGCCCAGGAGTTGGAGGTTGCTGTGAGCGTGATGTCATGGCACTCTACCCAGGGTGACAGCTTGAGGCTCTGTCTCAAAAAAAAAAAAAAAAAAAGTGGTGACAAACCCCAATCCTGGTGAGGATGTGGAGGAACCGAATCACTTACACTTTACTGGAAAGAGGTGAGAATGTAAATAGCATGGCTGCTCTGGAAAACAATCTGGTAGTCCTTACCAAACTAAACATACATATCCCATATGAGTCAGCAATTATTAGTCTTAGGTATCAATTTCAGAGAAATGAAAACTTATGATCATGCAAACACTTGAACATGAATATTTATGATAGCTTTATGTGAAACAGCCCCAAAGCATAAATGTGCTTCAAAAGTAAATGACCAAACCACAGTACAAGTTTAGTATGAACCACATCTCATGTGTGCTTCAACAAGTAAATGACTAAACCACACTGTGGTACATCTATGCCATGGAATACTACTTAGCAATATAAAGGAACAAACTATTGATACATGAAACGATTTGAATGACTCTCCCGGGAATTAATGCTGAATGAAAAAGACCACTGCCAAAACGTTACATACTATACGATTTTGTTCATAAAACTTTCTTGAAATGCAAAAATTACAGAGATGGGGACTAGATTATGCATTCTCATGGCTTAAGGATGGGAAGGGGTGAATGTAGTTGTAAAGGGATACCACAGGAGGACCCTATGGTGTGGAGTACCGTTCTCTATCTTGACTGTGGTGATGGTCACACAAAATACACATGATAAAATTGCGTAGGACTACACACATACATATGCACACACACAGATGAGTGGATATGAAACTGCAAGATGTTACCATTAGGGAAAATTGAGTGGCGAATACCTTGGTCCATGGGTACTTCCCTTTACATTTTTTCAACTTCCTGTGACTCCATAGTTCTTTCAAAAATTAGAGAAAATATTAATGAAAAAGACAAAAACAATCATTCCAGGGCTCAAGATGTCAAGAGGTGGAAAGTTAACTCTTCTCTTCTCTTCTTACAGGACCTGTATCTGCCTCTGTCCTTGGATGACTCCGACTCACTTGGAGACTCCATGTAAAGGAGAAGAGAGCTCAGAGTCCAGAGTACAAATCCAAGCTTCCCATTAAAGTAGAGTACTTCTGCTCAGTGTCCAACAGGGCTATTGGTGCTTTGAGATTTTTCTTTTGTTGTTGTTGTTGTTATTTTGAAAAACACCTGTAATATGTTGGGTTTATTTTCCCGTGATTTCTCCTCCGGGCCACTGATCCACAGTTACCAATTCTGAGAGATAGATTGATAATCATCCTTTGGTTATCCATCCAGGGATACAGAATGTGCTGGTCCATGACCTTTATTATGGAATGCTTAGGCGCCTGCATTCTTTTGGCCCCGTCTCACTTTGCTCATACACTATAGTCTTCCTTCTGTAGAGTGTTTACACACGTAGCACTTAAAATGTTGTAAGCTTTTGGGGACAAAAGCTCATTGGAAGACCCAAGAATGACCAATCCAAGTGCCCCTGTCTCTTGATCCCAAGGATGCTGGAGGATCCTGGGAGGGCAGCAAGGCAGCTCCCCAGCCTTGCTTTTCCCTCCTGCTTGAGCTCTGGTTTGTTGTCCAGTGCCAATTCCAGTTGTCAAAGGGGAGAAACACCAGCAACTTGTAATTGTGACACCAGATGCTTAGGACTCCAGTACAGGGCTAGCTAAAATAAACTAGGCAGAATTGGGAATTACAGAAGACATTTTCAGTAGAGTTTATAAAGCACAGATTCCTGATCAACCTCTCCACAGGGGCCATTTGGAATCAAGAAGCAATTGCTAAGAGTTTGGGGCAAGGGACTTTGTACACCTGATTCCTCTAGGAGGCTAACATACCAAGTCGTTACACGAATTGTATGGTATCCATCTATCTCTGTTCTATTGAATGCCTTGTAAACAGCCAACACTGAAAACACTGTGAGAATTTGTTTTCAGGTATGACACCTTTCGGTCGCTTTTTATAGCCAGAAACCAATATCCTTTTTATAAAAACTCATGTCTGTATTTCAGGAGCACACTCTTCAGGCTCCTTTTTTATAAACTGGTGATTTTTCTTTTGTCTAAAAAACACATGCAGAAAATTTACCAAAAAAATGCAGAAGACTAGAGTAGTTTAGAAAACACGCTGTCACTGCCAAACAGAAACCTCCGGGAGAAAACAAAATGAATAGCAGAGGCCAATTCAATAGAATCAGTTTTTGATAGCTTTTTAACAGTTATACTTGCATTAATAATTTCGATGTGGACCAGACATTCTAATTATATTTTAAAGGAAATTTTATGGCATATTTTAAGCAACTCTTTTTTATCTACAATCCTGATATTTCATACGGAAGACACGGAAACCTTTCACTTGTTTTTAACATTCGAAGGGATTTCTCTTTACTAAGGACTGATCATTTGGAATAGTTCTCAGTCTTCGAGGTACAGATTTCATAATACTGCTTTTTGTCTGTAATCATAGCCCATAATGGCAAAGACAACTGAATTGAAGTGAAAGCCATGCATGCCAATTTTGTGTTTGCTTTTAGCAGATATGAACATTTCTGAATTTCCTTGTAATTGTTCAGATATTTTGAAAGGTGCAGCATTCAGAGCCAAGCAGCTGTTTGGCTACTGAATGACTCGCCGTTATTCCTCCGCTCGAAATGGAATGAGCCTGCTGTGTGTGTGTGTATGTGTGTGCATTTGCAGTTGCTTCAGAATTAGAAAATCCTCCAGGATACCCTGACATGGATTGGTGGCAGCTTGAGGGTATTGCTGATGGGTGCTGTGTAGGGGGGAACCCAGCGGTGAAAGGGGTGGCTCAGGTGCCCCTAGACAAGTCTAAGATGTCTTTATCTGCCAGAAACAGTTTTGGGGTCAGGAGAAGTGAGATGAGGGTAGCCCTGGTTTCTGGTTCAACTGGTCATCGAAGAACCCCCAATTATGAGACTCTCTTTATATGTTGACTCACTCAAAACTAGTAAGAAGCCCATTTTACTCAGCCCCTATTTCTTTCTGGAAGCTCAGGGTTTTCATAGTGCCTCCCAGAACACTTCGTAGTTTATAGGGAAAAGGTGGTACTTGGGATTAGGGGGTGGGAATAGAGAATGGTGAGAAACTTGTTTTTAAACTTCAGTTCAGATCCCCAAAGACTCCACCCATGAACTCTGGCTAGATCTGTTGTAGTCCAATGCCTTCATCTTCAAATGAGGAAACAAAGGCTGGTAAAGAGTGCAGCCAGAGGAAGAATCTGGATTTCCTCATGCCCAGCCCCTATGTTGGCTCCCTGAGCAGTTCCTTGATTGTGGCATATATACAATTAGAAAACACCAAATAGACATTTTTTTTAATATAATGAACTTTGAGCCAACAATCTTCTATAACAATAGTACACTTTCTGTATTTCTTGTAATCAATTATAAGGAAAGGTTTCTGCCAGCTAGTTTAGGGGGGATTGGCATAGTTCAAAATTCAAGGCTCCAGTAATTTTATTTTAAATTGGCCCATCTCTAAGGGAAAGAAATATTTTGTGTGCAACTGAGCTCCTTCACCCTGTCATTCATTTCTAATTTTACCCAATCCAGTTTTACAACTCAAGTCCCATTGTGTTAACTTCTGCACAGTCTGCAAACATCAAGTCAGCAAGCATTTGCCGCCGTTCTTTACACTTTTCTCTTCCTCTTAAACACACACAGATAGACACACATGCACACACGCAATCTTTTGCTTGTTCCTACCTCCTGATTTTTCTTCCCTACACAAATAGATATAGGGACAAAGAAGGGGAAAAATGTATATATGGGGGCTGGGCTGAACAATTAACTTCATAAGTAGTGTTAACTAGGGGTAACTTGAGAGAAAAGCTCTTTTCTCTTCACCGTTTTGGAAAGGATAGCCATTAGCATGACTGCTTTGTGTCCTTATGGACTTTAGTGTTAGCCTAGATTGAATCATAGAGTTTTCTAGCTGGAAGGAACCTTAAGATCACATCATCTACTCCAAATTCCTCATTTTTCAGGCCAGGAAATGGAGACACAGAGGTAAAGTAATTTCCCTGAGGTCACACAGCTGGCTGGGGGCAGGGCTGGGATTAGAACCCACAGCTCCTGGCTCTTATTCTGGGATCTTTCCCCCCTAAACAATATTGCCTTCCACCAGGCTCCTGAGATTTCTTTCCCGGGATCATGTTGCATCTTGGAGCCATAGGCCATTGCCCTGATCTCAGTGGGAAATAAACCCAGCAACCTAATATGGGCCTTTCTGCCTGCATTCACATGGTTCCCATCCACGTGGGTTGCAGATGTCCCTAAAGAGAGGAAGGCGTTGAAGACCAGTAGGAACAATGGGGTCCCTAGCCCTGTCTATGCAACTCAGGGGAACACGGCCCATCTGGAGGAGCCCTCTGAATAGACCCCTGAGCTCCTGCCCTGTCCAAATGGAATGGAAGAAGCTAGTGGTTGGTCTTCCCAGGCTGAGGGAAATGTTTCTTCTTTCTAGAGCGGGGAAAAGAATAAAAGAAGAGTGGAACAATAGCTTTGTTCATCCTGACTTTCTGAGATGGCTTTTCAGCCTTAAAAAAAAAAAAAGAATATGGCCACTGTTCATTGGCAATGCTTATTACTTTTAAAATATGGGAGCAAGACAAGTTAGAGAAAATAACCTGGTCTTACTGTGGTTGCCCTCATCCACAATGTCCCCAAAGTCATCCTACCCTGATGAAGACAATTTCCAGGTATAAGCAAGGGGCTTTGTGACTAAAATGGACCCTGGCTGATGTTAAACATTGGTTCTTTGTGCTTGCACCAAAATAGCAAGCTGTGTGCTCTACACACTATACTCATCTTCTTGTGTACACTGCTCCTGTGGCCTTCCACAGAGAAACCAGGGCAACAAGGTCTGAACACGCAGTTTTGCTTGCAACAAGGCTCTTCCTGGGAACTGAAGGTTATTCATAAATTCAGTTCTAAGAGACTTCCTTCTGGGCTTAACCTACTCTTTAGGTACTTCTCTGTCCTTCCTGCCTCTCCTCTCCAATCAGAAGTAACCAAGGAAACTTAAAGTGGATGTGAAGCTATCTGAAGAAGGCAAGAAGGGGGGTCTGAGTCTTAGATTCTTTTTAGACTCTCCTAGCCCAAGTCTTAGTGCTTGCCTCGGACACATTATATCTGTGTTCCTAGTCCCTCTTCCCAGTTTGATTCAAATGGCTCTTATTTTTTAGGGAAAAACCTGGAGAACAGTCTTGTCCATGTCCCCCAAAGGTGCTCCAGTACATGGATGGGAATGTTCCCAAAGATCACCCCATCTCAGAAACATCTACACCAGGACAAAAGCACGGGGACAGTATGGTTTGAATGACTTCCTTCATGGTGGTCCAGTGTGCTATGGAAATTAAAGGCTTTGGAGTTTTCTTTTCTTTTTTTAATTTAATTTTTTTATTAAATCAGAACTATATACGTTTATGGGGTACAATGTGATGATTTGATATACAATGCGGAATACTTAAATCAAGCTGATTAACATACCCATCACCTCACTTATTTTTTGTGGTAAGACATTTATAATTTACTCTTAGTTTTTTTGAAATGTTCCCTTGCATCATGCATATTAGGCGGTTGGAACTTGCCCTTGACCACATGGGGCTATTGGGATCCATGACCAGGCCACTGTCATATATTGCTGCCACTACAGCAAGGGATGTGGCTTTTAGGTTTGGATTGTTTTCCCAAGTAACCCATCAGTGCTTTGGAGCTCATCTGGGGTGGGAGGAAGGACTGGAGTCCTATGTTTTGGGATGTGGAACCCAGAGAGGGAAAAGGCTCAGGGGTGGCCCAGCCATTGATAATATGTCAGGAGTGATCCGGGACCTCTTTAGTAGCAATGAAGCCTTGCAAATGCTAAGCTTCATGGGTATGGAATTTAGAATCTGTCACACATCTGCCTCTGTCTAAGAAGAGGACTTCATATGTAGCCCCATCCACTGTTCAATGAGTCCATGCAGGTTTTTCTCTTCCTCACAGGCATGGCCACTTAGAGCAAGGATAGTGCACTGATTCCTCAAGCTTACCTTTTGGTTAAAGAGTTATCTCGAAGTTTTCTGTCTGTTGATGGCCCAGACCCAGTCTAGTGCTGTTGATGCTCAGTGGATTGCCCTAAATACTATGATTATGGGCCAAGACAACACAGGTCGTTTCTTAAAAATAAATTCTCAATTTTATTCTTCTCTGGCTAATAGACTTCACTTCTCTAGGAGATAAAAGGCCAGAAGTTCTTGCTACACAGCAGCTAAAACACATGTGCAGGGAGGAAAATGCATTTCTAACCCTACAGAGCAATGACTCCAGCGCGTGACCTCCTATGGGCTGGGACTAGTAGCAGTTCACCTAGCCCCATCTATGTTCTCTTCTTAAGACTGGAAAAGTCCCTCTTCATCAGCCTTTCTGTATGCCTGGGTCAAGAATATTGTGCCCCGATCCCTTCAGGAAAAGGTGCCTTCCTTCTCTGTATCCCAAACCCTGGTCCCCTGAGCTTGCTTCCATCCCCAAAGGTCTAGTGTGGTCTTTACACCCGGCCTCTTGGGGTTGCTTCCTGTTCGTTTCCTCATTAAGGATCTATGCAGCCCTCCCACTTTGGCCTAGCTAGCTGGACACTGGTGACCATTTGACAAGACTAACTTTTGAATCCCTTAGTTTGTTGGCTTCAACGTCTTCTGAAATCTGAAACAATTTTTTCTTACCTTGGATGCCTGAGCCTAGAGCAGCATAGAGTTGCCATTGGGAGTTGAGGCATCTCCCTGCTCCTGATTAGAAAGGCAGATTAGTTGGGAGCATTCAAGTGGCACAACAGAAGTCACCTTGTTAAACTAAGGGAGAGATTTGAAGAAATTGGAATTTCTCATTTCTGGGAATAATGACCTGAGGGAATCAATGGCTTGCAGCCACTCTACCTCCTGTGGATCTCTTCTTTTCTCTCTCTAGTTTCCTAGGTTTTCACTTTATATTCTGTGTCATCACTCTGTCTTTCCACTGTACAAACATCCCTCCTTTGCCCTGTGGAATCTCTCTCTCTCTATTTTTTTCCTGCCTCCTGTCTAGGTGTTGGGCATA